TGCTCACCCCATCCCACCTCGTTTCGCATCGGCGATCACACCGCTCCCGGCCGACAGCGCCCTCAGGGGTTGCCCGGCGGAACCCGGGAGGAGGCTGACATGAAGGGACCCCTTTTTTCTACGTCCCTCGCCTTTTCCCGCCAGTTCGGATGATCGGCGGAAAGGTTGTTTTTCACCGACGTGTTTCCAGGCAGCCGCAGTTAGCAACAACGTGCGCTGCTAGCATATAGCATGTCCAAGGGACTGAAGGCCGCAGACCTGCCTTGGAGACAAGAACTCCCTCTGTAAGGCAACTGACGCTATTCCTCGGTCCCCCCCCCCCTGGAGCCAAGCCTCGCGGAAGCTTCCGGAGCGAAGCTGCCCAGGTCGGAGCAGCGTCCCGTCCCTCCGGAGGAACCAGACGGCGACTAAAGCTCTCCAATCGAGCCCACCGACGTGTTTTTCAGGCAGCAGCAGTTAGCAACTACGTGCGCTGCTAGCAGTTAGCATGTCGAAAAGGCTGGAGGCCTCAGACCTGCCGGAGGAGACAAAGAGCTCCCTGTGTAATCGGCAGACGCCATCCTCAACATGTGCGCCGCTTCCACGGGTTGCCTGTCGAGGATTTGCAGCGTGGATGACGGTAATCCAACGTTCCATCTGGCTCCGTCACTCTCCATTGCTGCCGGAAAAGCTGCACAAAGACCTGATGGAGGGCCCCATCTCATCGGACGCGCTGTTCGGAAGCAGCTTGACGTCCATGCTGGCGAATTCGAAGCAGTCGGAGGAGACGTCGGAAGCTGTACGCCATCTCATCAAGCCGCGCGGCTCATCCCGTCCCCCAGCCCGCTGGAGGGATCGTCGAGAGCAGAGGCAGAAACATCGACGCTCCACGGCAGCAGCAGCTTCGTCTAGCCCAGCTCCACCACCAGCCCCGCCCGCCAGAGACCACCCCTCCTCAGTCCGGCAGCCTGCACTTCAGTGTTTTCCCCAGAGATCGCCTGCAGACGGCGCTCGGAGCAAACAAACCGCAGGGCTCACGGGGAAGAAGTTTTAAGAAATGACGGTCTGCGGAGGATGTGTGTATAAATGACACAGGAATTGAATAAATGATTTTCAAAGATCAAAATGCCTGTTTTTAGCCAGTCTGTAAGCTCGGATGAGCTCACAGCCGCTACACACACATCCTCCACTCATAAAAGAGCCGGTGTCCTTAAATAAAGGTTTTTTAAAATCCACCGCCGCTCCTTCACATGCCCAGACGCTCACGTGACACCACGGTAAGCGAAATAACTTGTTGTCAATCAGACCCGCACGATCACCACCCAACGGTGTTAACGCGCACCCGAGCGAGACAAGCAGCCTCCATCCAAACGGCGCTGTGTCGATGATGCACGCACAGCTGCCCGGCGCTCACCGGCCCACATCGGGATAAATGTGGTACCGCAGGCCGGGTCCGGTGGAGGTCCCCGCTCTCAGCGAAAACAACACACGCCTCTCCTGAATGAACGCGAGTGGCCGTCATCCATCGCGTCTCAGCGATCGGCAGCTCACGGCGGCATAAGCGTGAGACAGCTGAATGAATCCAATGACGGGCCCCGCCCTCAGCGAGAGCGGCGCATGTCCCTCCAGAGGAAACGTGCGCTCCCGCGAGGCTCACAACCTTCACTTCGACAGCACGGCGTTGATGACGTCACGCCCTCCACCTCTCAACGTTCGCACAGCGACGTTAAACGTGCAGCCTCTCAACGTCATCAGCTGACACACGCTTCGCCTCAGCACACACCGCCCCGCCCGGACATGAAGGTTGGTCTGCGATCCAGACACAGCGCACGGGCGCGCGCAGAACAGCCCTTTCGAGGAAGCCTCGCCTTGGGTCACGCGGAAAACATTTCCGCGACGCATGACGGCGGTCGAGGCGGAGTTTTGGATGACATCCGTTCAAAACACGACACATCATTTAAACGTACGTCCACTCCACGAACGTCACGCAGAGTGGTTAAAAACATGCTCACCGGACAGATGGATGGACAGAGTGTTATGCAAGGGTTACACGCTGCAGTTTGCAACCCGACCCCCTCCGTTCGGAGGAGTTATAGAGACGGTCCTGTCATCACCAGACCAAGTCTCAGCCTTAAATGCAGAAGTCCAAGAGCTTCTGATAAAAAGTGTAATCTCAAGAGTTCCCAACGAGGAGGAAAACACAGGGTTTTACTCACGCTACTTCCTGGTCCCCAAAAAGACCGGAGGGATGAGACCGATTCTGGATCTGTCAGCTTTCAACAAAGCGGTCATGAACAGACCTTTTCACATGTTGATGAACAGACAGCTGTTGGACAACATCCAGAAAAACGACTGGTTTGTCTCCATCGATTTAAAAGATGCTTATTTTTCACATACCGATCATCCCAAAACACAGAAAATTTCTGCGTTTCGCCTTTCAGGGGATGAAGTATCAGTACAACAGGCTGCCTTTCGGGTATTCCCTCGCGCCTCGTACGTTCTCAAAGTGTGTGGAGACAGTCCTGCATCCACTGCACAGAGCAGGGATGAGAAGTTTGTTTTACCTGAACGACCTGCTGCTCCTATCTCACTCCAGACAGGAAGCATTGATACAGGCTCAGGTGTTAGCATCACACCTGCTAAATCTGGGCTTCGCCATAAACTGGAAGAAGAGCTCGATTTTCCCGGCCCAGACAATTGTTTATCTGGGAGTGGTATTAAACTCAATTACCATGACGGCTCGTTTATCACAAACAAGAATCGACACTCTAAAATCCAATTACGCCACGTAAGACCTGGCAAAGTGGTAACAGCTGTCTCCGTCATGAAGCTGTTGGGAATGATGTCATCAGCTCACACAGTGGTCACGCTGGGTTTGTTACACATGAGACGCCTCCAGAGGTGGTTTACGCGTCTGCGTGTGGATCCAGTAAAACAAAAGAGACGGATGATCACTGTCCCTCCCTCCGTGAGAGCAGACCTCCGACACTGGGGAAGCACTCTGGCTCTGTCAGAGGGAGTCCCCGTCAGCAGACCCACGTCATACGTGTCAGTCTTCACGGACGCGTCTCTGTCAGGTTGGGGGGGGGACATGCCTATCTCAAGCAGTAGGGGCGCTGTGGCCCCACCGCACATCAGCCCACATCAATGTTTTTGGAGTGTCGCACAGTGCTGAACGTGATTCAACACTTTGCTCCCGTGCTACAGAATCAACACGTGTTGATTCACACAGACAACATGGTGACTGCCGCGTACATAAACCGCCAGGGGGGTGTGTGTTCAGCCCAGATGTTTCACATTGTGCGGAAGCTACTGAGTTGGGTTCATCAAACCTGCTCTCTATTAGAGCGTTTTTACATATCCGGTGTTCTGAACAGAGGGGCAGATATGACGTCCAGGGGCGGCCCACGTCACGTGGACCAGACCCTCCATCCAGATCTGATGTTTTCAGACGCAGCAGAAGTTGGCAAAGCAGCTGTGGACCTGTTTGCGACGCGAGAAGAACGCTCAGTGTCAACTATGGTTTTTTCCCTGAGCCCACGAGACAATCCATCGCTGGGGGGGGGATGCAATTGCTCACAGCCGGTGGCCCAAAACGCTTTTATACGCGTTTCTTTCCCCCCACCTCCTTTGTTTCTTTACGGTTCCTGAACCGAGTTCAGGAGGAGGGATTGACAGCTCTCCTGGTGGCTCCCGGCGTGTGAACGCACCATGGTTCCCAGGCCTGCAACGTCTGTTGTCGGGTCGCCATGGAACTGCCGTGGAGGGAGGATGCTCTCCTTCAGGCAGGAGGAGCGACCAAGAGTTACCCAGAAATAGGTCAACACCTGTGGGTCTGACCGTTGAGCGGTCCCACTTAGAGGATGGGTCTCCCTCAGGAGATAATGTGCACAATTCAAGATTCACGTGCTGCATCTACCACAGTTCTGTACACATCAAAGGGGACGGCTTTTCAGCGCTGGTGTACAGAGAAGGTTTAGAGGCCACCTCATGCTTTTTAGGCGGCGTGTTGTTTTTCTACAACAGCTGATGGATAGGGAGTTGGTTTTCAGTACGCTTTTACGTACGTTGCAGTCATCTATTCCTGCCACGAAGGTTCGGAGACAGAACAGCTTTTAATCACCCGCTGATGAAGCGTTCTTTCTAAAAGATGTTCAGAGACACAGGCCTGCTTCACGTCCACTTGCTCCACAGTGGGATTTAACGCTGGTCCTGCGAGCCATGATCAAAGCTCCAATTGAGCCTCTGGATCAGGTTTCACTTAAATTCTTGTCTCTTTAAACAGCCCTGCTGCTGGTTTTACACCCGCTAAGAGGGTAAGTAATTATCTGCCCTCTCTGTTGTTTTCGTCATGCCTTAGAATTTAGGCTGACGGGCAGCTCAGCTGATTTAGACCAACCCAGCTTTTATGCCTAAAACATCACGAGCTCTTTTGAATCAAGAGTGATATCGTTGGAGGGGTCTTTTCCCCCCCACAGATCAGAGGAGGAAGCATCTTTTCATCTTCTCTGCCCGGTGCGGGCGTTGTCGTGTTACATAACACGCACAGCTGCAATGCGTTTCAAACTCAACAATTGTTTGTGCATTATAGAGATGCTTCTGCAGGTCGCCGTTATCCATCCAGCGCTTGTCACACTGGCTGTGTGAGGCTTTTTCTGAAGCCTACAGAGCATCAGATTTAGGGCCTCCTGTCAACCTCTAAGCACACTCGACCAGGGGTATCGCATCTTCGACTGCTCTGCATAATGGTATGTCAATGCAGGACATTTGCACTGCGGCTGCATGGTCAACACCCTGCTCATTTATTCGCTTTTACCTACGTGATGTAACGGCTCGTTCCATGACACATTCTGTCCTTAGTGCTCTAACAGAATGAATATTGTTGTTCTCATGGAACTCTGTTTAAGCTCACTTCTGTCTGCATGCATTTCAGTGTGAGATGTTGTTATCAGTCACAAGTCGTGTCTGTGATTTTGGTTTTATTGTCACTAATCACTTCATGATTATTGTTACCAATCAATTCATGGACATTAATCTGTTATACTGTTCAGCCATGAACCAGTTGGTTCATGCCCCCCCCCCCCCTCTCTTTTCAACTCCTTCTTCCCGTTGAAAGTTTTCCGGGGGCATTCATGCTTTGTCAGAACGCATAGTTCTCAACATGCGTCTGTGCATGTCACATAATTACGCGATGCGTAGTTATGCACACGGGGAGCTGAGTGACAAGACGTTTTTTTGGGCAAGCTTCCGCTTCTTACTGTGTTCGAATGGACCCAGTGAGGCGAGGACCACATCCGCTTCGCCCTTAACCCATCAGCGACAGCCTTAAAGGGCGAAGCCTATATGAAATAGAACGTTGGTTACGTACTGTAACCCCAGATTCTATGAATATAGGCGTAGCCCTTTAAGCGTCGGGCCTCACTGGCTCCTAAATGGCTGAAGAAAAAGCTATTTTGGGAGCCGATTTCCCGCTCTTAACGTAATTTATACGGACCGGGTGGGGCCCACACAGCAGGTGGGCGTGGACTAATTTTTTTCAGTGCTTATGCTCTGCATAACGGGATAAACCCATCAGCGACAGCCTTAAAGGGCTACGCCTATATTCATAGAATCTGGGGTTACAGTACGTAACCAACGTTTGTAATGTTAGAATTCATTTGAAAGTTGATGACTTTAGCCATCTTGGTTAGGTTAAAACAATGCTATACAATACATTACAGCTCAATGAGAAAGGTTTTTCTTGTTCTCTATAGGAAATTTGTGAAAAAAATAACATATTTTTAATTAATTCTGACCCCGTTTCATCTAATCATTATGTATTTTCTTCAGGGTCCACCAGGTTTAGCAGGCCTAAAGGGAGACCCTGGCAGGAAAGGAGACAAGGTGAGAACTTACTTTACACACATTCATTCACACTGACCTTTTATCTAATGTATATTAACCTTTTTCATTATATCAATGCAGGGTCATGGTGGTTTGATAGGTCTGATAGGACCTCCAGGAGATATTGGCGAAAAGGGAGACAGAGGACTACCAGGGAACCAGGGACTTCAAGGTCCAAAAGGAGATGAGGTGCTAAAATAAGTCAAATGCACATAAGCCTGTATTTCAGGTTGAAGATTTTATGTAGAAATATTACTTGAAGAAACTTTCAGTTCTTATGATAGATCATACAACTTTTAAATCAGAACCTACTGGAGTCACAAGGTTTTAAACCTATTTTTGAATTGTATTTTAACGTTTTAATTTTATAAACCCAGAGAATAACCACCATTGGTTTGTAACCCACTGTTTCAAAACCCTAAGGTTTTTCATTTGGTCATTACCATCTTGGATGTTTGGAGCTAGAAATGAATGCAGTAAATGATTCTGTATAGGATGCAGAAATTGACACTCCTCAGAGGAACAGGGAAATAAAATATTGGCCATGTCTGAGTTTATAACCAGCTATCATATTTGCAATTGCTCCAAAGTCTGGTATTGGTCATTGAATAGTTGTGGGTTTAACTCAACTAAAGCAGCCAGACTGGATCACAATCTTATTTATGGAAAAATATGTCAAATAACCACGTCTGGGTAACAAAACAAGAGAGGCTAGAAAGTAAAGACATAGCCCATAATCAGGGTTTAATTTGTAAACCGATCGATGCCGGAACGCAAATAGCGGGCAGGCTGGTGGTGGGGGCGTGGGGGTCTGGGGGTCCCTCCCCCAGAAATTTTGAATAAAGTAGATACAATTTCCTGCATTTTGGTGTATTTCAACAGGCTGTTAAATATCTATGTCTACTTACATTTGTAAACACTCCGCCTCTGTCAATTTTTTCAGTTGTCTTCATCTGACACTTGATTTTTTTGTGTGTAAAACTAGGGTCCATTTGGTCCGCCAGGTTCACCCGGTCCTCCTGGTCCCACTGGGCTGTCTGTGAGTAAATAGAATTATTTGGCTGTACATAAATTACAAATATACCAGCACCGTTGTTAATGTGAAGATTTCTGTAACAATGTTCATTCTGCACCTCTTTTTGTCAACCACTCTTCTCCTTGGTAGGGTGCTATTGGTGAAAAAGGTTCCAAAGGAAACCAGGTACCTCTGATGTTTGTTGCAGTTTTGGATGTCACTAATAAGTGCTCTTCAGGTGGACTTTGACAGATTCATTCACCTGAATACACAATACTGTGCTTTTAATTTAGGGTCCAGTTGGCCCCAGGGGAGACACTGGACCTGCAGGGCCTCCAGGATCACCGGTGAGATTTGCTTACAAAAACTTATGTTCAATATTTGTTTTTGTTTACGCTTGTTTTTCACTTCCTGCTGTCCCTTTAAATTGTCTGCTTTAGTCCGTGCTTCTCAGTCACTGCTCCTTCTTTTCTACCTTTTTGTTTTTCGCCTTAGGGACGGCCAGCGATTGGGATTTCACCTCTGCCAGAGCGAGGAAGGAGAAGAAGGACTCATCATGTGGTGGATGGTGCAGCACTTGAAAATGAGGAGGAAGAAAAGGCCGTAGATGGAGACGAGGAGGCATGGATGCAAGGCGATCAGGCAGAGCAGGATGGCTTGATGAAGGATAAAGAGGGTGAAGACATGGAAGAGGTGTTTGCTTCTCTCTCGTCGATGAAGGTGGAGGTGGAAGGTCTGCGTAACCCACAGGGGACATACCACAGCCCTGCTCGCACCTGCAAAGAACTCTGGCTCCTCCACCCAGACCTCCCCAATGGTACTCCATCAGTATCTTCTTTTCTTCCAGACTCTTTCTTCTCTCTGTGTTTGTTTTCGTTTGAGCTTCTCTCCCCCTTCTCTTAATCTCTGCAGGTGAGTACTGGATAGATCCCAACCAGGGCTGCCACAGAGACTCTTTCAAGGTTTTCTGTAACTTTACTGCTCAGGGAGAAACGTGTCTGTTCCCCGACAAGAAGTTCCAGTCGGTCAGTCTCTACCAAAAGTTGATTTTCACATCACTTGTTTCCTGATTTGCTGTTCTGAGTTTATTTGTTTGTTTGGTCTGTTTTCAGGTGAAATTAGCAGCTTGGAAAGGTGAGAAAGCTGGCAGCTGGTACAGTAAATTCAAGAAAGGAAAACAGGTATGGTGAGATAATGAATGTCTGCACGTCTTGCAATCATTAGGAAAATCCTTCAAATTGTATTTTTTATTTTAGGGAATAGGGACAATTTAGAGTTAACAATAAACCTCACATGCATATATATGGTCACGACCATCTGAAAATAGTAGCTCCATTGGTTGTCTGAGGACTTTAGTTTATTGAAGTGTTTTTTAGCTTTGCCTAGTGGTGCAATGTTCATACTGAACAAAATGCTGGAATAATGGGGTTGCGATGATGTTCTTGTCTTCCACAGCAGAGAGATTTGGTGATCGTTTTTTCAGAGTGGTTCTTGTGTAAAATTGTGGTTGTGAAAAAGCAGGAAGCCTGAACACGTTTCTATTTCTATTGAATAATAGCTATATTCATTTTAGGTTTGCACCAGTACAAGAAAAATGTTATTTAGAAAGAGTGCACAGAAATTAAGTTTGTGAAGACTGATTTCAAATAAATATAACAGCTGTAGTCGTCTACTACTAAATAATAAAACTGACTTTTGTTTCTAGTTTTTGGTGAGGGTGACTTCATGTAAATAGATGACTAAAAAAGTGTTTCCGAAGCAAAAAGTCATTAGCATCAATGAGAGTGACAGCTATTGGTCAGTTTTTGAATCCATCAGTCTAAACAGACTCTTCAATCTTTTACTTTTTCATTTCTAGGTAAACTGTTTGTCTATGCATTTTTTAAAACTAAACTAACAGCATGTCTACCATTATTAGATTTCACAAAAACCCTTTCACATTTTGCCCAAGACATCATCTTCATGTCTTGCTGGGATGTCATAAAAAATTAACCTAGGGTGCACAGATGATTGATTCAAATCCAGCTGCTGTTATGCCTCTGAGCCACAAAGGGAGGTATAGTGATAGCAGAAATGGTTCATGTATGTACGTAACAATCGGCTGGTGTCAGTTTGAAGATGTGATGTGGTGGTAAGCTGTACAATAATCTAGTGGCAGTGTTTAGAATTGGAGACATGCACTCACACTGGATGTAGTGGTGCCACAAAGATTCCCAGCCCAGTCTGTTGCTCCACAATTTCCCTCATGAAACTTTTTGTTGTTGTGGAATGTGACCAGCTTGATTGGTGACATATGAAGGAGCAGATTGGGCTTTAACAGAACTGTAGCAGAACTTTTTTTGTGAAAAGGCTTACAGAGACAATTATTTTGTAGTAAGTTTTCTCCCTTTTCTCTGGTTGAAGATTTTCCACAAACTTGTGCTACTTTGTTTTTCTGTTTATTTCATGGATAATTTAGGACATGATGCAAGTCTGTAAAGTAGAGCTCATGTTGCCTTCAAGATGCCTCTTAAACAAATGGTGATCCCTTGATTTGAAAAATTGACATTGTTAATCCTTAAACACCAAAGTTCATGCTCAATAATCCAGGTGCAAATCCAAAACTGTTCAGTCAGGTCATCAGAACTGTTTTTTTTGTTGTTTTTTTTTTACATTAATTAATTAATTTTTTTGCTAAGATGTTTCATCCTTCATCCAAAGGACTTCTTCGGTCCGAGGAGCCACAAACTAACTGGAGTGCCACAAGCACCAAATCCCATAGAGGAAAAAAAAAAACAGTTTGCTGGTGATAAAATGGTTTCTGGGGCCCACCCTCTCCCCTGTCAACTACTCTAAGGTAGTCATGCCAAAATGGTTCAAAACACCAAAGTTCATGCTCAGTGAACTCTATCAATGCTCAATCAAGTCATCTGGGTGGTTTCTTTCTTTTTTTTGTTGTTGTTGAGATGTTTAATTCTTCACAGGGCCAGATTAACACTTCACTGTACCCTGGGCAACAATCTTCAATGGCCCCATCATCACGACCCCAGAATCACCATAATCTGGCAAAATACAGAATAAATGACCGTAATATACAGTAAATGTACTTCAAATTTTAACTACCAGGTTTATTTTGATGTACAAATATCCAAAGGCTCATAGAATATTAATATAAATAATATAAAAATGGCAGCCAAATATGTTTTTTAGTCTTAGTGACTATAAATATTGACAGAAAATCTGAAAAGTTTTTCCAACTACAGTTATGTAAAAGACAGTAGCCCTCTTTAAATGAGGATCAGATTTGATAATTACCATAAAAACCATGGGGATAATAAAAAAACAAGCAAGTGTAATTCATACCAACTAAAAATTAACACATACAAATTTATTTGGAAAGAATAGGCTTGAAAGAGTCCGAATGTTTAATATTTGCTCATGGAGCCTTTGCTTCACTCAAATGAATTTAAAACAAGAAAAAGAACATCGATGGTTCAGTCACATCCAGACCTACACAGAGCACTACTGTATGCTAACACGTAGCATGATTAAAAATGGCTACAAGTTGTGGGATTAGCTTACTTACCACCTTTGTTTGATGTTGTACGACCATAAACTTCTCTGATAAATCCACAACATCAAAAATGATTCCTCGGTATGGATGAAATGTGCAGCATAAAGCTTGGAAAAGCACTAGAAGGCGTTTGCTTGTAGCCACTTAGCTTCGCACGTCAGCGCCGAAACTCCAGAAGAAGCTGATTAGCTGTAATGAAAGTTCACCTGTGAGTTCACATGGTTAATCTGGCCTTTGTCCTTAATTCAAAGGATGAAGGACAAAACGTTTGAGGACAAATCCTCAAACAAGCACATTGGACATTTTAACAAAAGTCTTTGAAATCAGGTCGGAACGATGGCTATTTTTCTTAAGAGCATTTGAAGATAAGTTTTTGAGATTCTCCCAGTTTTTTTATGACCCTGCTGAAGTTTTTCCTCTCTAACACGAACAATTTTACAAACTCAGCAGTCTGGGCTCATTATTTCTTCGTGCTACATTTAGAACATGAATACTGCTGTTAAAGATGCATGCTTCGATTTTTCTCTTCTTCAGTTCTCCTACTCTGGGTCTGACGGCGACTCCATCCACGTTGTCCAGTTAAACTTTCTGAAGCTGCTCAGCGCCACAGCCAAGCAGACATTCACCTACCACTGCCTCAACTCCGCCGCCTGGCTGCACATCGCCTCCTACAGTCACGAACACGCATTACGCTTCAGAGGCAGCAACGGCGAGGAGCTCACCCACGAGAACACACATTACATCAGTGCACTGTACGACGGGTGTCAGGTGAGCAACACGAACATGCACTGTGAGTGCGCACACACAGACACACACTGTTTTAATCGTTTGATCATCTTTGCCTGCAGACACGCTCGGGTCAGGAGAGGACGGTGTTGGAATTTGACGCTTCGGTGTCCAACACACTCCCTATCGTTGATGTAGCTGTGTCCGATTTTGGAAAAGGGAACCAGAAATTTGGTTTCCAAGTTGGCCCGGTTTGCTACAATGGTTAACAAAGCTGGGAGAACCAGTTCCAGAAACAATTTAAGAAAAGAAGAGCCATGGACACTTTTTTACATGCAAAGTGAACACTACATTCAAAACCACATATTTATAAGTTGATGTGTGTACACCAGTGTGTTCTGATCCAAACAAGCAGTGACACGTTGATGTAGTCGGTCTGTCTGTCCTGAGTTCAGATTCACCAACAGAAGACTACAACAACTTCACTCACAATGGATTTACATGCTGTGTTTTCCAGTGAAACATCGACATCCTCGGAAGCACATTTTTTCTTTCATTTTTGAAGGACTAAGCTGTGCTCTTACTTTTACTCACTTCAATTCATACACTCAGTAAATACAACACAAACACACTCAGATCAATAAACCACAATACACACACAACATACCACAGTTCAGCAGAAATCTTATTGTCATCAGCAATAAGAAAATAAGGGTGCTCTACTCAAAAAAATCCTTAAACCTTGATGGGTGCTGACCATCCAGCATGATAACAACAGAAGCTCTCAGCTCGCAAATAGCTTTAAAGTTGCTCACAAACAGGAGCAGGTGTGCATCATCAAATGTATTTGCATGTGTTGACAGTTTCTGTTGTTTTTTTTTTTTTTGTCAGACCTCATTTTTGTTGTGTTGTTTTGTATGATGTTGTAATTTTGTGATTATAATTATATTTTATATGATATACACTGATGAGCCACAATATTAAAACCAATGGCAGACTATCTGAAAAACATCCGGCCATTTTCTGTTGGGAAAACCCAAAGTGTCTCCGAACGCATTAGTGATGCACGATCACAGCGTTCTGGGTTTATATGGTTGAGCTGCTCATTCTAATTACAGTTTCTGTTAGGGACAATGATGATTGCATCCAATTACTTTTTTTTTTCACATTTCTGGTTATGTGGACAGTGTAGTTGTTCATATGTTTATGGTCTGAATTATTAAAAAGCTTTCCCTCGCTGTCACTGTAAATCTGCAAGGTATTTGTAAAAATACTTTGTTTTATTGGATCTATACACTGTAATTAGCTGAGTCTTTTCTCATAAATGGTCAATAATTATACATATTTGGAGCAGAGGCAATGTTACATTTTATGTATGTATTATATTAGTGTTTAGTTGGTATCACTAACTGTAAATCTTTGGCTTATGGCCTATATGGTGAATATAGCCTGCCTCAGCTTGAAGTTTTTCAACATTTCCAGATACATGTTCCATTAAAGATGCAGGATAAAATCAAAAAATAAAACAAAACAGACACACTTTTCAGAAACTCATTCTTTTTATTGTCAGCTGTTTAAAAGTAAAGTGGTACCTAATCAAAAACAATGAACGGACAAACTTGTGCAAACATTACACTTTCCGTTTTGAAACAATTTCCTCTTGCTGAATTCTTATACACCTTACATAGTATAAAAAAAAACAGTTGCACCTTGAAGGGTCTGGGTATGGTACCTTAAGCAATAGGACATTTATGCACCTTTTGTTTGTACCTTTAAAGGTAGACTTTTGCACCCCATGCCCATAGCCTTCAAAGTACAGCTGTGTTGTTGCTAGAGTAAATTTGCTGCTTCACTGTGGCATGTCCATTGACTGGAAAATAATGGATTTTCAAATGTCAAGTGGACCAATTCCTGTCATCATCAGCTGATTGAGTTGTGGACTTACAGTTATTCTGCCTCATATCAAAGACTGTGCAAGAATCAAGAAAGTTGTTCGCTCTCTCAGGGCTGCAAGAAAAGAAAACCACTTCTCTTTTTTATCGCAACCTAGCTCTGGGACATCTCGCAGTGTTTTTTTTTTTTTTAAATACACCATCTACAGCAGAACATTTTTTTCTCATGTGGTATCTGACAACTATTGTGTCAATGGTCAAAAATTTTGAAGTTGGCGTGGCTAATGCGGAAAAGCAGAAATGATGGTAGTCCTGCTTTTCTGCTGGTGTAGAAGTTTGTACTCTTTCCAGAAGTTCTGCACGTGAGTTTCTTGTGAAGTATGAAATGTCCTAGCTAGGCCAGAACAAGCTTTGTTCTTATTCTTGCCAACTTGAATAAATGAACAATTTTCTAGGTTCTTGTGGAGTACTCTAAAATACCCAGATCACAGTTTCATGGAGCATCTGACAGGTTCTATTATAGGTCACATCTTGCAGCTCACAGGAAGTGAAGGATTAGCTTCCAGCTTTCTTCCCACCAGACTGATGTTTTATATTTAGCCTCCAGTGGGCTGGAACTAGGGATGCATGATATTGGATTTTTGGCCGATACGCCGATATGTTAAAACTTATGCCGAGAACCGATAACGATATTTTTATATACTTTCCTTTGTCAGAACATAGCCCTCTTATTTAGGCTTATTTGCTACAAAAAATGTGTAACAGCTGCAAGAGCTGGTGACATATATTCAGTAACAGCCATATGATATGCATAGCACTTTGACTTATATTAAATGAAAAGCGTTAAATGTTATTTATTAGCATTAGTCACCTGTGATGCTGTCTCACTTGTGGAGGCTTGTTCTGGGTTCATAGCTGCAGTGTGGGATCCTATGCACTGTTGTGCATGAAGGACAGTCTTTTAAAGTTCAAAGTTTTTGTCTATCCATTGTGCCGTAGGACTAATCATGCTAACGGGGCTAACACGACGTCCAAATGTCTGTGGTAAAACTCACCCAAGTGCTATCGGTTATTAGCTTCCCAATGACGTTAGAAATGACAGCTGGTAACTCGGGTAAGGTTATGTTGGAAAAAATATCTGACTGAGGATGATGTAATGAGGCTCAACATAGTCCAAAAATCTTTGGAATCCAACATCCTCAACAACAAAAAAAACTTCCACACCGCCGACATTTTGTATTTTCCTCTCCACCGTGAGATCAGGTATGACATCATCACATTGTGCTTCCGCTGCAGGCATCCTTGTCACTGGGTTGTTATGCAAAAACAGCATCTTTTATATCGGTGAGTTATTTTGATGGAATGGCCAATGTCCAATATTTAACGTTAACGCTAATATCGTGCATCCCTAGTTGGAACCATTTTTGTACGGCCTGCACAACAATTGGCTGGTGGTTTTATTGTTGTGGCTGATTGATGTATAAATGAGTGTAAGTCATCATGGTGCTATTATGTAAGTCCATAAAGAGTAAAGTTCTTTTTGTCAAAGGGATTTGGGGGAGAACATTTTTTTTTATATCGTGAAACATTTTGTATTTTGTCAATATAACAAACCAAGCTCTGATTCATGATTGCCTCAATGTCTTTTTTTTGCATATTTGTTTTGGGGAATTGAATAACATATTTTAATAAAAGTACACAATGTACACTTAAGTTAATATGGTGGCATTTTATTTAATGCAATGACTAAGCAACACCAACTAAAGACGGACATTTCCACAACTGTTTTCCAAAATAATATTAATAAAAATATTATTCCGTGAGGGCTACAGTTGTGCAATTAATACCACTGCAGTATTTTTTTAAATACATGGCAGGTTGTCTACTAATGTGGTCAAGAAAAAAAAGTCAGATTGTTCAATTAACCACAGTTACAGTGAAATTTCTTCCCGTGTCAAGCGTTTAAAATACAAACGTGTGCTTTTGTGAAAAACATCTGAACGTTAACATTTTATTGTTAGCGCTACAGCTTTAGCATATAGTTCAGAATACCTCAAAGCATTTTATGTAAGCACAGTTGTTTGCAAAAGTGTTCGGTTTTATTTTTCATAAACCAAACTGATCTGGACTTCACCACAACTTTGTCTCTGATCTGTGTAGAGAGTTCCTTGGTCTTCATGCTGTCTCTGGTAGCCCTCATTTCTTCGAAGTGTTGAACTGGTGCTGATTCTGAGGGCTGTTACAACAGGTGTGTTTGACACACAGATCCAGACGAGGTTCCTACTGAACTACATGTGATAATTGTGTGGCTTCTGAAAGTGGGTCTTCAATAATAATAATAATAATAATAATAATAATAATAATAATAATAATAA